TCGCTGCTGCCCAATTGCAACTGGAGGAAGAAAAACAACAAGTAAAGATCCAGGAGCTCGGGAGGATGCAGCTAGCTTGCCCTTCAAACCAAATCTGTTCCACTCACAAATGAGGAATTTCACCCTAAGAATTCTCTCCTGCTGTTGGAATGGGATGGCAGACTCGGACAACCTCTCTGATTTAATACACGGCAGAATAAGAGCAGTGCTGCCCACCTCCTCCCTGCCCACCCCTCCAGACTGGCTGTTTCCCCACCCTCCCCATCAGCTTCAGAGCAAGCAGCAATTTCCGCTGAGAACAGATTCTGCTAATTACAGCCCTGTGTCCTGCAATGAGCTGCAGGTGTCCCAGTGCTGATGGGGCACTGTGAGGGTCGTGCTCAGTGGCTCTGGGTGCAGCTGCAATTGGTGCAGCTGTCCAGAGGGCAGCTCCACTTACATCACCCACCTTGGCAATCCTCACGCTACAAAATAATTCAATTCTTCAAAAATCACTTTGTTCCTCCTTTTAATATTTAAGAGAACCACTCATGTAATGCACAGAATCACACACACAGTCACAGAATGGCGAGGGTTGGAAGGGACCTCAAGGATCATGAACCTCCAATCTCCCTGCCACATGCAGGGCCACCAACCTCCACATTTCACAGCAGCCCAGGCTGCCCAGGGCCCCATCCAACCTGGCCTTGAACACCTCCAGGGATGGACGGGGCATCCACAGCCTCTCTGGGCAGCTGTTCCAGCACCTCACCACTCACACAGCAAACAACTTCCCCCCTGACATCCAACCTCAATCTTCCCTCCCTCAAATCCAAACCATTTCCCCTTGTCCAGCTGTTATCTCCCTTTTCCAAGAGCTGATTCCCCTCCTGTTTGTAGGCTCCATTTAGGTACTGAAGGCTGCAATGATTCACCCCACAGCCTTCTTTTCTCCAGGCTGAACAAGCCCAGCTCCCTCAGCCTGTCTTCATAGGGGAGGTGCTGCAGCCCCTGCTCATCTTTGTGGCTCCTCTGGACCCTCTCCAACAGCTCCCTGTCTTTCTTGTACTGGGGGCTCCAGCCCTGCACACAGTGCTGCAGATGGGGCCTCACAAGAGCAGAGCAGAGGGGGACAATCACCTCCCTGTCCCTGCTGGCCACCCCTCTGCTGATGGAGCCCAGGTTTTACGATCGCAGATTCAGGTTTTGTGTGTTTCAACAGAACCGAAGAAGAGGGCAGTGAGACACAGGTTGCCCAGAGAGGCTGTGGATGCTCCCACCCTGGAGGCACTCAATGCTAGGCTGGATGGGGCTGTGAGCAGCCTGGTTGAGCAGGAGGCATCCCTGCCTATAGCAGGGGGTTGGAATTAGGTGATCTACCAACCCAAACCATTCAGTGATTCCATAAGAGGGATGGGTTTGCTTTGGTGAAGGAAGCAAAGGGATGAACCCTTACAGTGAGCAGCCTGCAGCCATGGGATGACCGCTGTGACTCAGCCCACGTTTCTCACCACAACCCAGTGCCAAACCCACACACACGTCGGGAAAGCCACGAGAACACCCGATGGAAGACAACAGCTTAATTAGGGGCTGACAGAGCTTTTTGCTGCAACACGTGTGGGTGAGAAGAGACGAAATGACAGCAATGCTGCTTCGATTGCTTTTAGCTTTTCCATTTCCCAGAAAAGTTCTGAGGTGAACTCGGCTGCTGGCAACACTGCAGCACACAAGTGAGTGCCAGGCTGCTGGGGAAGGCAGTATTGATGAGAGCTACCTAAAGAAGGCACAACCACAACATCACAGTATTGTTGTCTCTCCCTGGGCTGCTCAGAGGCTCCGAGCACAGGGCTCACCTCACACAGTCTGATTTACTAAGAGAGCAGCTGGAGAGCCTGGGAAAGCCCTACAATGCTTCGCCTTCCAGCACAACACGACTTGGGAGAGCAGCACTGGGCAGTGTGCTGAGAAATCCAGCACTGAAGAGTTCAGGAAAAAACTCACCCATGGGATTTTCACATGACCCTCCTCTTCCCTGCACTTCTGCAGTTTAATCTCATCATCAAACTGGCCTTTTGCTTCACAGTGCCTTGGTGTACCTCCTCGCTGGGCTTCTGTGGCCTCTCCACCACAAACACGACAGAGTGCTGTCACAAACCAACCCTTCCTACTGAGGGAACACATGCAGAGGAACTGCCCCACCAGCACTGGGAACATGCTTGGCAGCTCAAAGAGACAGCTGGGCATAGCAAAGCACAACAAGGGCAGAAGCAGTGTGTAACAAGAGCAGCTCCCTTGGTCAGGGCACTGCCCAGCCCTATTTCAGCACTCAGCTGCCTGCATCTGAACGATGGATGTACTGGGGAAGAAAGCAAGTGTTAAAATTCCTGCTTCTGCTTTTCAGGCTTCAATCACCTTATATGGGAAAATCATATTTATTTACTAAGGCTATGCATCCCGTGCAGCCCTCAATGGCTATGTCAGCGACTTGCTTCCACCACTGCTCCCAGCCACACGCTGTGCACACCAACCCCTCATGGGCTGCTCCCCATGGGGCTGTTCAATCCCCCAGAGCCCCAGCCCTGCTGGCTATGTGGCCAAGAGGCAGCAAACTGCTGCCATTGTTGCATGCCCTGCTGTCCCAGCTGCCCTCCCTGGTCCGGACCCACCCATGTCTTAAAGGAGGAGAATTCGGGAGCAGCCTGAATTCCATTCACACTGCCTCGCTCCTTCCCTGCAGCTGAGCTGTGACTTACTGACTGTGAAGGAACTGCAGGGTCTTTCTGAGTTCAGGGCATTTGTGAGTGTTTTTGCCTAGCTGGCTCCCTGTGCCATCATCCTATAGCACCATTTCATGGGAAAGAGGCATGTGACATCCAACTGAGCTGTGAACCATAATCATGCTGAGGACGATGTTTACATTTGATTTTTCCTCAAGCTGATAAGCTCTCTCCAATTTCCCTCTCCATCACGTTGGTACAGATTGAGCGGCTCATGCCCCACGGGTTGGAATTCTTCTCTTATCTCTCATCTGCTCACTGGAAAAAAAAAAAAAAAAGGCTTTCAGCAACCCTTCAGTTATCACTGCAGAGGGAAGGGCTGCAGAGCTCTGTCTGTGGCATCCAACACTGCCCCAATGCCTCTGGGGCTTCGGCTGTGCCCAGCACACGCAGAGACCTCCACGCATCACTGCAGCTCCTAAAGCAGAGGGATTCAGCCCCAAAGAACATACTGTCCCTGCTGCAAGCTGTAACTAATGGACAGGCTGCGACCCATGCAACAGGAGCCACGAGAAATTGAAACAGATTGAAACCAACTCTCAGCCCAATGGGGAATTAGGATTTCTAGACTCCACCTTTGCAAGGAGAGGGAGGAGAGCACTCTGTCTGTTCTGCTCTCACAGTTCCTACTGTGAGCTGCCAGCAATGCAACCCCAGGTCAGATGCAACCCCCAAGAGCAATCCTCTCCTCCCCCAGCTCCTGGGGACACCCTAGACCGAAAGCTTTCAGTGCCCACTGCACTCAGAGTTCCTCAGAACCCTCCCAGCAGCTCTGAGCCCTGCACCAACACTGGTGAACAACCCCCCATGCTGCCTGCAGCTCCTTCTGAGAGGCAGAGGAGCCAGGAAGGAGCCATTCACACACATCAGCTTTTTCAAACTCCCTTTTCAGCCACAGCGATTACAAAACTTTCAAAACCTCAAGGCCTTGTTTTCACAAAGAGACGGATTAGCCCTCGTGTTTGCACATGAGCATGCCCAGCTGCCAACACTACGCTGCTTTCCTCCTTCAAAGCACACCCTGAGGGTTCCCAGAGCTCCAGAAGGGGCCCCAAGCTCAGTCCTGTGGGGTCTCACTGAGCAGCAGCCTTGCTCTCTTCAACCTTCCACGTCCTGTGGGGGGTCTCTGCCTCCAACGTGGGTCCAAACGGCGACAGTGCAGGGCACGTAACGTAGAGATGCTGTGATTGGGAGTTACTGAAGCAGGATGAGGTGAGCACAAGAGCTCCATGCACAGTCCCATCTGCTGCAGCCAGCAGAGCTGATCACAATGCTGCTGCCATGCCACCAGGCCTGCAGGTTTGGCTCCTTCCAGAAAACACTCGGGGCTGCCTTACTGCTGTCTGCAGTGCAGCCCTGGGAGCTCCGAGCAACACAGCTTGGGATCTGCTTAAGTGAGCAGCGTGCAGCTTGATTCAAAGAAATGACATAAATACGGAAACATCGGTGTCGTTACCAGCTCCACTTCATCTTTGCTATCAGTGTAAGGTAAGAGCCCGTTAGCTTGGGAAATGCAGGTTCACTTGTGATGGGCAGAAAAGCACACAGTGCTGAGCTCCAGTCTCCACAGACACCTGGTTTTGGACGGAGCACCAAACAACCGCACAGAAACGCAGAGAGGGGGGGATGCACATCACAACAACGTGCCACGGCCGAGCACAGGGACACGGGTGCCTTCCCTCCCGTGCTCCCCAGCAGCACAGCCGAGGGCTGTCAGCCCCACAAATCCTGCAGCAGAGCCCGAGGGCTGTGCAGGCAGCTGGGAGCTGCCCCACATCCACACGACGACGTCCCTGAAATAACCACGGACCCGCTGCCAGGTTTTGCTGTGAGCGCTGAAAGGCACGGGGCGGCTGTCAGACCGCAGCCCGCACCTCTCGGTGCTGCGGAGGAGCTCCGGGAGCGGACAGCCCCACGGCCCCGCACATCCAAAGCCGGTTCTGAGGCCGCGAACGAACCACGGAGCGGCAGAACGGCGCAACCCCGGCCGGTGCGGGAGGTGCGGGCCGCCCCGTGCCCCCCAGCATGGAGCCCCAGAGCCACGGCGTCCGTCCGTGTGTGTGGGTACGGAGCCCCCACCCGCATCCCCCATAGGGCGGAACCATTCGGGGGGGGGATGAGGGGGGGCAGCTGGAGCGGCCCACGCTGAACCCCGGGGTGGCGCTGGGAGGAACCACAACGAGACGGAACGAGGGGGAGGAGGGGGGGGGCGCAGCCCGGAGGGGCTCCGCGGGGGGACGTTACCTCCTGCCGCGTCCGGGTCCCCCGCGCCGGCCTCCGGGGTGATGGCGCCGGCCCCCGCCACGGCCGAGCCCTCCGCCTCCTCGGGCACCTCCAGCTCCATGGCCGCCGCCAAGGGCGCGGGCAGGGCACGGCAGGCCGCCGCCGCCGCCGAGCTCCTCCCGGCTCCGGCCGCCGCCGCCGCTGAGCAGCCTGGGAACGGTGGGGACCATAGAGCGCGGGAGGCGCCGCGGCCAGACACGCCCCGGCGGCTCAGGGCGGAAGTGGGCCGCGGCCACAGCCGGAAGTGGGGTCCTCCTCTTCCGCCAGAACTAATCGCGACGCAGAGTCTGGGTGTCGCGATAGTCCTCGGAACCGGGACTGAGATCGGGACTGGGATTGGGACCGGGGTGGGATGGGAGGAGCGGGGATGGAAAGGGGCCCGGCGTACCATAGAGCGGCGGAGATAGAGCGGCGCCAGCTGTGCCGGGGCGCAGAGGGCGGGACCCGAGCGTCGCTATGGCAGCGGGGCCGGGCCGTTGCCATGGCAGCGGGGCCTACTGCTGCCCCGTGGTTGGGATCTCCCTTGCCGGGCCCGGTGCATCGGAGCCGCGCTGAGACCTCCGGGGTCGCCCCCCCTCTCGGTCCCAAAGCCCCGCTCGGCCCCGCCGTGTCCTGTGGCCCCAGGCCGAGCCCCGCGCCCTCCGGCCCCCGGCACCACCTAGCGGCAGCCGGGCCCTGCGAGAGGCTGCGGCGGGCAGCCCCCGTCCCGTGACGCCTCGCCCCGAACACGGCGTGGCCCGGCGGACGGCCGTGTCCCCGGCTCCGACCGTGGCTGCCCCGGGCTGTGAAACCCGCCCGGCAATGGGTCGCGTTCCCCGCCAGCCCTAATGATGCTGCTCGGCCGCCCCACCGTGCCCCCGAGGGGCCTGGGCCGCGTCCCTGCGAGGGAGGGGACCGGGAGGGGACCGTCCGAGCTGCCCCGTCTTCCTGCGAGACGAGCGGCGAGCGGCGGCACTCGGACGAGGACGTCGCCATGTCCCCAGCCCCGGGGTGGCCGCTGGTGGCGGGGGGATTCCGGAGGAATTGGTCCCCCCGCGACGCCCTGGCTCGGGGCCTCGGCCCTCCGCAGCCCCACGGGAACCAAACGCAGACTGCTGGAGCCGGGAGCCGTTGCGTGGAGCTGATCTCTGTGGCTGGAGTCCCACCCGGCGGCAGGAGGAAGGGCCCCGGGCCCGTAGCGAGGTGGGGGCCCGGCAGAAGGGATGGGGAGGAAGGCAGGTGGCAGCCGCCGCTGGGTGGCAGGGGGTCACATTTTCTCCTGTGCCCCCCAGCATTGGTGCCATTGGTGAGCTGGCAGCTGGCAGCGTCCCTCTGCCCTTTGGGGCCTGAGGAGAGTGTGGGTGCTCCGGGCAGCACAGGTGGCACAGAACCCCGTGCAGTACCCCATCTTCAGGCACTGCCACCCTGTGTCCCCAGGTGCCCTGTCTCTACCTGGGGCTGAGAATGGGAGCAGATGTGGCTGAGCCACTAGCCTGGGGGAGCAGCAGAGACAGCCCCCCCCCCCCAGGATTCCCGCTGTGCTGCTGGAGCTGCCCAGGGATCCTCAGCTCCTGTTGTCTCCCTCCCGCAGGCAGCGTCTGGCCCACAAAGGGTTACGCAAGGCAGCACCCAGGAGTGTCACCGCTGCCACCAGCCCTGGCGCTCAGCTCCTTCCTGGTCAGATTCAGCCGCGGGGGACGAGCCACAACACGGTGAGTGCTGGGGAACTGGGACACAGCTATGGGCTGCCTGTGCCCAGCAGCCCCAGGAAGGAGGGGGTCTGAGGACCCTCCTGGAGCTCTGCCCCAACCACAGAGACAGAATGGGAAGGGAAACCCCAGGGCACTCTGCATGCTGGCGAGGAGACCTGAGCAGGGTGTGGGTCAGAGCCTCCTTGGGGTGCTGTGGCTGCAAGCTGTGTGGGCTTGAGGATGCAGGGCTGGAACCCTGTCATTATGGCTCCGCACCCCAGCCTGGAGGCCATGCCTCCATTCCACCTTTGTACATCCAGCTGGGGCAGCTCCCAGCACCAGGGCAGGTTCAGGGTCAGCTCGGGGATGCAGCTGGAGCTGGGTCAAGTGCTGGGGGGCTGCTGTCGGGGTTGGGACCTCAGCAATGCCTTCCTGCATGGCTGATGCTAGACAAGGGATGGGTGGCTTGGCAGAACTGAGTAGGCTGCGGGGGTCATCCCAATATGAGTGGGGCACGTGGGGCTCCTGGTGCATTGGGCTGGACCGTGGTCTGCTCAGCCCAGATACTGCCTTCCCTGGTGGGGCCACTTTGGGTGCGGGTTGGTTTCTGTCAGGAACCGGCTGAGCCGGCTCCTCTGGCTGCCAACCTCAGCCTTTAGCTCGAGGCAGGGCCCCCGGGGAGGCTGAGGGCAGAATGGGGGCTTGGTGTCCCCATGAGCAATTCCCAGAGAGAGGGAGCTGCCTGTAGTCCCACTGTCCCTTCAGCCCCACAAGGGCAGAGAGCTGCGGGATGCAAATGTGAGATCAGTTCACCATGTCCTAGTGATGGGTAGGCGATACAGTCTGGGGTCCACTGAAACTGTGGCTCCCTTTGGGCGGGTTCTTGGGCTGGTTTCAGTGACCGGTGACATTGGGTGTTGCAGACCAGCCTCCTGGACTCTGCCCTGTGCTCTTAGCCTGGGTTATTCCCAGGCTCAGGTGAATGATTGCACCACACTGCTGGCTACTCTGCTGGCATTTTGGGGCTCTTTTTTTGTGTCTGGGGCTGCGTGCTTGCCCTGAGCTCTGCCCCCTGTGGAGTTGTGTCCCTACTCACTGTGACCCCAGGGACAGGCATTTCCCATGGGCATCAGCATTCATTTTGGATGCCTGTGGACCCACTGGTGCTGCGCTGAGGTTTTCACGTGGGACCGTGGGGTTTTCAGCCCCAGTTGTCAATGTGAGTGGGCTCACTGGGGCCCAGAGGTGGTGAGCTGCACTGGGGCCCAGAACAACACTTTTGCTCCTGGCAGCACCATGCTGCAGCCCCCAGGCAGGAAAGGGACCTGTGGGTGGCACAGGACAGGCGCACAGGTAGCAGGGCCAGAGCTGGGCGCTGCTGCCATGACAGATGGGACAATGGACAATGGGAGCCCTGAGAAGTCTGCTATGGCAGAACCATTGACCAACGGGAGCCCTGGCAGATCTGTTGTGGCAGAACCACTGACCAATGGAAGCCCTGGGAGATCTGCTATGGCAGAACCAGTGGCCAATGGGAGTCTTGTAGATCTGTTATGGCAGAACCAGTGGGTAATGGGACCCCTGGGAGATCTGCTATGGCAGAACCAGTGGCCAATGGGAGTCTTTGTAGATCTGTTATGGCAGAACCAGTGGGTAATGGAACCCTAGGAGATCTGTTACGGGAGAGGCAGTGGCCGTTCGGAGCCCTGTGCGCTTTGCTGTGGCAGACCCATTGACCTTGTGCCGCGCAGTGCTGGAGCTCGGCCATGCAGTGCTGCGCCATGCGGGGCTGTACCACGCTGCGCCGCGCTGTGCCGTGCCAACAGGGAGCGCAGATCCCCTGGCACCTGCGGTGCCGGCCCGCCCAGCCCCACGTGGGCACGCCCCGAGGCCGGCGGGGTGCGGCGGGAGGCGGGCTGTGCCAAGCCGTGGCATTCCGTGCGTGCCGTGCCGAGTCGTGCTGCAGGTGCTGAGCCGAGCCGTGGGTGCAGCGGCCACCTGCCGAGGGCCCCGTGCCGCAGCATGGCCGTGCGGTTCCAGGTGCGCTGCTCGCCCGGGTGGGAAGGGGAAATCCTGGGAAGGCTGCAGGGAGGTCACCGACGTGGGTTCAGGGCCGGGAGGCAGAGGCAGCCCTACCCTGCGCGGTTGGTGGCTGTGGGGAGCAGGTGGGAGCCGGGCAGCAGTGGCACCGCAAGGAGCTGCCGGCTGTCCCTTCCCTGCTGCACTGCACGACAGCGTTACAATCTCGCCACGATTTCCTTGGCTGTGGTTGATCCATCACGGCGTCGCCCGGCCCTCCCGGTTTGTTTTTCCATGCCCAGATGACCCTTGAGATAGAGGCTGTAAAACAGCTGCAGGAGCCACCGCCCCACGGCAGCTTCCGCGGTCTCTCCAGCTTTGTTTGTGGGATTTTCCCCGCCGGGTGCACAGATTCTGCATCTCTCCAGGGTGCTGGGAGCTGTTAGAGGGGATTCTGATCCCACACCGTGTGCCGGGCTGTGCTTCAGCCTGCACGTGCATCCCAGTCTGTCCTAAGTGGAAACCGTTGGATTTGAGGAAAACCAAAGGGCAAAGCCAGGTGCAGTGGTCAGCAGAGCCACCAGCTCTGTGGTCGCACCAGGGCCTGGGGTGGGCAGCTGGGAGGGCAAGGGAGCACTGTCAGAGACAGCACTGGGGGTGTGCTGGCTGCTGAGGCAGGGAGGGCAGTGGGGACACAGCGATGGCAGCTGGTGGGGTGCCCCATCCACAGTGCCCTTGTATCCCCAGCGCGGCTCAGCTGATGCTGAAAGCTCTTGCTTCAACTCTGCCTTGCAGCCCAAAGCAGGACAAAGGAAAGGGCTGGTGGCTGCGAAAAAGAGCCGGAGCCAATCTGTGCCCCCAGCCCTTGGGCTGCAGCTGAGGCACCGCTCAGCCTCAGCGCTCGCCCTCCCTCACTTGCGTTGGCAGGTGGCTGCCATGGAGGAGATGCTGATCTGGGAGCAGCACACGGTGACGCTGAGCAAGGTGAGCGTGGCTGAGGTGGCCGTGGGATGGCGGTGCTGGGGACAGGCTGTGAGCTCCTCTCTGCCCCTCCCTGCTAGGACCCTCATCGGGGCTTCGGTTTTGCTGTTTCGGGTGGCCGGGACCGTCCCAACAAGGTGACTGGGGACACAGCGGTCATTGTCTCAGATGTGGTGTCCAGGGGACCGGCGTTTGGCCAGCTTCAGTGAGTGCACGGGGATGTGGGGATGCAGTGGGGGTCATCGCTGCCAGCAGGGACCGGAAGGGCAGCAAATTGCTGTTGCAATCTGAGGCAGAGCCACAGCTGCCTTTCCCTCACAGGAGGAGGGATCAAATCGTGATGGTGAACGGCCTTTCCATGGAGAATGTCTCATCCTCCTTCGCCATCCAGACACTTAAGACCTGCGGCAAGATTGCCAACATAGTGAGTGTGCCCTGCAGTGGGACAGCTCCGTGCTTGTCCCCATCCTGTCCCTGTCACTGTGCCTGTTTGCAGGGTGCACGGTGGCTCTGGGCCAAGCCCTGTTCCTGTTGTGCTTTGCTACCTCAGAGTACCCATGGTTCGTATTCTGGGCTGGGAAATCGCCTCATCCTTATCTCTTCTTTCTTTCTTTCCACCTGCAGACACTGAAAAGACAAAAGAAAATCCACCTCCCCATGAGCAAGAGCAGCCCTGCATCCCCTGCTGCAACCCGGCGCTACGACTCAGATGAGGACTACGACCCTCGTGGTGTGGAT